AACCCTGTCGCGTCTTTTGAGGTATATTAGTGATGCGACAAAAGAAACATTTGACATTGCCAAATCCCGAGGGTATCGGCACCCTCGGGATTTGGCAGCCCGCGTGCACGTACAGTACACACCGCACACCTAGCAGGACCGTCTCTGATTCCACTCGTAGGGAGCTATTTGACTAAGTGGTTAAGATTTAAAGAGTAAAGAATATTTTATGTTATTTTCATGCACGTTTCATTACAAAGTTATATTTGCTTGAATTTCGTTTCTTCTGAGATCGCAGCAATGCGCGACGGTTAAGCTAGTATCTAAATAAATAGATGTTATATGTTTTTATCAAAGCAAGAATTGGCATTTAGAGGGCATATGGAATATATTAGATCTAATAACAGAGGTAATTATATTGAACTTGTTTATTTATTAAGTACATCAGATAAATAATCTATTAAAAATACATTTAAAGAAAGAATTAACTGATTGCCCCTGGAAGTCGGCTTCTTATTGAAACACAGCTTCCCTATCATCAAATGTCACGGCATGCCACATGTTGAAGTGGAGTCAAATGATTTTAGTTTCATTTGATTTTTTTTTTATTAAACTACTTATATTTTCTGTTACATTATATTGTATTTAAAGAAATGATCTCTAATAATCTCATTATCTTCAGTATTAATTGCTATTTCTTTAGCATTACAGGTAGCCCTCAGTTTACGCCGCAGTTCCATTCCTACAAAAGCTGGTGCAAATTGAATTGGTGTAAAACGAACCCATATTTACAGTGAGGTATAGGGTTACGTTCTACATAAATGAAAAATAAGCTAATAATTTTGTTTATTAATACAAATATAATATAATATGACAAACCTTTCTCTTTAACTTGATATGTATTATTTTCAGGATTTATTTCAGGAGGCTGTTCATCTTCACTGCTATCAAGTATTACAATATCTGTATCTTTTTTCACTGGATTAAATGTAAAATTTATTTCTGGTGTGGAATTACAAGTTTTTGCATTTGATATCCAATTCAAATGTTTATCCCAAAAGGCTTTGGAACGTGCATTATCTAGACTTAATGGTTTCATTTCTAATGATTTACGAACTGGCATCTGCTGATGAAATAATCTTTGTTGTGGATCAAGTACAACTCTTTGTTGAGCCTCAAGTAAGGCTCTTTGTTGTGCTTCTTGTAATCGTCTTATTCTTTCTTGTTCTTCTCTCTGGGCAGCTAATGTTTCAGCATCTAATTCTGATTCTGGGATAATCTCTCTGATAATTAAAATTAAATATTTTATTTTAATACATACACATAATATAAATTTTATTAATTATTTCTTTACCTGATGTTGCATCGTTCAAAAGGCAACTTCTTTTTTTTAGTTTTCTTCTTCTTCTTTTTCTTCTCCTCTTCTTTTTTCACTTGCTTCTCTTCTTCACTTTCTTCTTCTTCTTCTTCTTCACTATCAGAACTTTCACTTTTATTTTGTTCACTTTCTTCTTGTACATCCATTTCTTCAGAATTATTCTTTTCTTTGTTGCAAGGATTTTCCTCAGTTAGATCATTTGTATTTAACAAACATTCAGAGAATTTTGTTCTTTTAGTGCAGTCAATGTTATTCTTTTTCTCATCATACTGTTCTGTACAAGACACTGTAGGATAATTCCACAAATTATTATCTTTATTTGAAACTTGAGGCGATGTAAAGAAGTTCTCTGATGATGATGAACAGTTAAATGAGCTTAAATATGACTGTGAAGAAAGTTTATCATCATCGTTTCTTTGACATGCAGCTTCTAAAACTTCTGTAAAATTAATTCAGAAAAAATCAGCTGTTTAATAATGAAAAATTTAATTATACGAATAATTTAATTAGATAACATACTTTCGAACTGTGTAAAATTTGCATCCCATTCTTTCATTTTTTCAAGTTGTGTTGGATTCGATCCATTCAGTATCCCACCAGGAGCAGATTCCTCCAACGGAAACACTTCCATTGTTTTATCATTCAAACCAAATTTAACATTTGGTTACAAGAATCAAATACCCTATCACCTACAATTAAACTTACAGTCACTGTGAGAATGGATATTTATATACATGTATTCAGTAGTGATTCATCTTAAATTATGTTTTATTTACTTAAAATATCAATCATTTTTGACAAAACAAACTGTGAAAATATAAAAATATAATTTAATTACAGTTTCAATATCAGATACTTTGTTAATACTACGACTAAAATTATCATATTGTTGTTTTAATGACTAGAACATTTAACTGTGTTAAAGTTCACTAATCATCAGATTGTTCAACAAAATATTTAATAACTAATAATATAACTAATATTAATTTTATGATAAGATAATCAAACAAATGATTTTCATGAAAAAAAATTAAATTATAAGAGAGAAAATTTGATCCATTTAAGTTTGATTAAAGATTAATAACAAATTAAAAACTGAAATTTTTCTGAGTTATCTATATTTGATTCTATTATAAAGTTGCAAAAATCAATGCAAAAATATTCAAAAATCATAATATAATAATATTATGTAACATTCATTAATGATTTATATAATTAACTTTTAATACATGATGCTGCAGTACAAAATTTTTGTAATTAATGATTTAGTATTTTAAGCTTAACATTAATGGAACAAATACTGACACAATACAACCCTAAGAGAGCCAGAAAATGCCATCCTTATAAACCAAAGTTAGCATTGCCAAGTTTAAAGCTTTAAAAGACTTTATTAAATACTGAAAATTAAGCAAAACTGGATCAGATGTATTTTGGAATGACACATCTCATATCTTCTATATATATATTTGTTTGATTATTCATTCTAGAATGATATATCTTTCTCTTTCTTAATGCTAAATGTTATTCAGATATTAAAAATTTTTGCTTTTAGATAATTTTATTTTACAATATTTTAAACTTACCTTCTTAAAAATAATGTTATCAAGTAAATCTTTTTAACAAAGAATGATAAAAAGTCTGATCATCCCATATTAACTGGAAATTATACCTGAAAAATACAATTTGTAGCAAAATTTTATTATTATTAAATAAAATTTATACAAATTACATAAAATAAAAATTCTATAATGAAAATATGGATTTGATAATGAAGAATGATTAACATATTATAATAAGAATTATATGGAAAAAAAAATATACAAGTCAACAGAAATCTGATCCATAATAAGAAAAAGTAGAATATAAATGATGTAAATACCAATAGTTTTGTAAAATATTTTTATTTATAGTGACTACTTGTCTCTGAAGGATATTCACTAAAGTAGCACTTTTATTTTAATGAATAATTCAAATATGATATACTCTATTAGTAATGTTCTGCATGTCATGTTATAATAAAAAAAATATTTTGTATTTAAAATTAATTTGCATCATAAACAAGTCTATATTGCTACTTTCTAATAATTCTATTAATATTTTACTGTTGTATGCTTAACTGTAATAATTGTAAATTTTTTCTTTCCTAATACAGCACACTCTTGCTAATCTGGTCCTTTATAATCTGGTACCAATTATCCAGCACTTCCCATGTGATTATATCCCAATTATCCCCCACTTCCCACTTCCATTTCCAAGAAAACGTTAGTCATATCATACATTCTGTTTTCGTGTTCACTTGAGTTTCATTTCTATGTATAGTACTGTATGTCTATGCTCTGTATTATTTCTTGCCTGCCCCCAAAGAAGAATTGGTATCAAAGGAAGAGAAATTATGTGTTATTCATTGCCTTTAGGTCTATACACACTCTGTAATATAGTATTCTCTGTAATCTGGCATTCCTCTATCAAGGAATGGCTGGATTGGCAAGAGTGTAGTGTATTACTGAAATACAAAGTCTCATTATATAAATAATATTATAATTTTACTATGATTTTTGTATCAAAAATTGAAAAAATATTTTATCATAAATATTCAAAAATATAATTAAAATGATTCAAAACTGTATAAACCAATGTAAGGATATTGTTTATTCAGTTATTTATTTTCATTATTCTTATATACTGTTCCTGATTAATATGCTTTTAGATGATATATCTTTAAAAAATGTACAATATTGAAGACTAAATACAAAAAAATTTTTGAAGTTCTCAAAACATTCATTCACAATCACCAGAACATAATTAAATAAAAAAAAATTTGTTTATATTGAGTCTTCAATATTGTATATTTTTCAATGCATTTTTGTTTTAATGCAGGTCCAGAAAAAGACACTATAATTTTGGCCACTTTAATACCCAGATCTTAGCTGCAACCTGTGTGCTTATGTAAAGGAAACTGCTTGTTTTTGTTGCCTGCAGTGCCAAAATGGTGAGTTTTAATACTAATTTTTTACTTTCCTGGCTCTGTTATATATAACAGAGAAAAAATATGGAGATTGTTCAAAAACTGACCACCAAGATTTTTACATTTTTGAACCCAGGAGACCTTGAAATGTTGGGAATTGCAAAATTCTGGAGTTTTTTCTGTATATAGAGATGTTAGTGTGTGGGGCATAATTTTGTTCACCGTCTTTGAAGTTTAATAACTCTTATGCTTTTCGTTGAAAATTTCTGAAATTTTGCAGGGAGGTTTGTTTATTAGAGAAATTGATACTATTAAATTTTGGTGGTTAAAGGTCAACAGGGTAAAGAGATAAAGGGGGATTGTGTGTCATATCTTAAGAAGGGATGAACTTATGACAATTTTACTCATTATTAGCATTTACAATTTTTTTTATAAAACCCATTTGTACCCTCAAAATTAAGCTTTTAGCCATTTTATAATAATTCAAAATATGAAAAGTTTTTAATAATAAAATGTCAAAACAGATGGTGCCACACATGCAGTTTTAAATGTTGCTGGAAAAGTTAAGCAACTTGCTGGACTTTTTAAAATGTGTTTGTGTGTCCTGAAATGTCACTCTACCATATTTGGTTGCATTTGAACTGTAAAGTATTTCCCCAGACAACAATGAACATGGATATTTTAATTGTAATTACCCAATTTATACATACTGATTCTTATTTATAATGAATTATAACTATTAAACTGAAAATTTAATATAGTAGTATAAATAAACTTTAGTTCTGAGCTAAAATTAGCAACATTTGTCAGAGATAACCACTCACTTCTATAATCACTTAAAAGATTTCTTTTTGGACAAATAAAACAAAATGTTATGTCCTTTGAATCCAACATTCACCCAAGTTCCAAAAATTATTCAGAAGACTATTTTATTCTCAGATTTTTTATTTAACTGCACAGATTGTATCTTTACTGAAGACAGATCAGAGTATTTGCCAATCAGTCTTCAGTAAAGATACAATTTATGACAGAGTTTATACTATTATTCTATTTCCCTGACATCCATCACAGTAACAATCCTGTGATTGATGTCAAAAAGAAACTACAAAGGAAATGGACTTGGAGAAGTGCAAATGGAACTAATAATGGAATCAACTACATTATATCAAAAAAGAAATTTGTAATCCATGATTGCAAAGTTTTCAACAACTTCAATACAGGCAGTGATTACAGAATGGGGAGATGCAAACTGCTATTGAATATGAAAACTGAAAGGATAAAGTTTATTAAGATCAAAAAGTAGTATGTTAATATGGCTTGTATACAGGAACACCAAAATAATTTTCAATTATAACTAAAAGAACCACTTCAAAATTTTGGGTAGTAATATTGAAGACCTAAATGTTACAGAAATGAACAGAAAACTAACCCTACAAGAAGTTCCAAAAGAAATAATCGGTAAAGCAGAAACAAAACCAGTAAAGAAATTAACAGAGAAAACAAGAGAATTAATTTTAAAAATGTAGAGAATTCAAGGCAAAAAAAAACTAAATAAACATATCACAGAGGACATCAGGAAGTTCACATGCAATCTTATAACAAAGACACTTGTAAAAAAACAAAAGTTTGAAAACAGCTAAATGAAAACTGCATTGGAAAGAAATGGATTTTTGTTCTAAAGAAAGAACTACCACCAGGAACAATAAATAAATCATTTGTGTTTTTGAAAGGTTCTATAATATGCTGTATAAATATGACAAGGGCAAAGTATAGATCAGTAATGACAGAAAAATAGACAAAACAAAACAAATAATCCATACAAGGAAAGATAATGTATACAGCACTACAAAATGCACAATAAGGAGAAAATCTCTGACCCATCAACCTTTTGTTCAATATGTATAAGATCTTTACTAAAATACTGACAAACATATTCAAATCTAAACTGGACTCCACTCAACCAAGAGAACAGGGACGATTCTGCACATAGATCACATCCAAACAATCAGAAAACTTACTGAATGCCATAAAGAATATGAATTATCACTTTATTTTGGCTTTGTAGATTTTGAGAAAGCTTTTGATTCTGTTTTCCCATCTGCAGCAGTGAAAGCCTTAGAATCTAATAGCATAGAAAGCATATACATTAATATAATCAGGAAGATCTATAATAAAGCAACAGCAACCATCTGTTTGGATAAAGAAAAAGGCAAGGATCAGGCTTGGAAAAGAGTTAGACAAGGAGACACATTATCACCAAACTATTTAATGCTGTATTAGAGGAAGTTTTCAGAAGTCTGGACTGAAGCAAGAAAGGAATTAAAATTAATGGGAAATTTCCAAGTCATCTCCACTTTGCAGACGATAGTTATCATTATATCCCATATGAATTAGAAAAAATTACCACTAACCCATATGAATTAGAAGAAATGCTGCAAGAAATAGCTGGGGCAAGCATTCAAGTGGGATTGAAGATGAATCTGCAAAAGACAAAAGTAATGCTGAATGAATTTACTATGAAAAAAAAGTTTATGACAAACAAAACTGAGATTGAAGAAGTACAAAATTATGTCTATACCTGGTCAAGAAATAACTATGGATAACAATATCACAAATGAAATAAACAGAAGACAGGATCGTATGGAGTATATTTGGCAAAAGTAGCATAATTCTAAGAAGCAAACTGCCAATGTGTCTGAAAAGAAAAAGTATTCAACCAATGTGTTCTACCAGCACTCACTTATGGAGCAGAAACGTGAACACTAACAAGCAAAACAATACAGAGACTACAGACAACACAAAGAAGTATGAGAAGAGGCATGCTAGGCATTACAAGAAAAGACAGAAAGTAAATCATCTAGATAAGATATCAAACAAAGGTATATGATATTGTTGAGAGGATCAAACGTTCAAAATGATGATGGGCCAGACACATTGCTAGAAAACAAACAAGACAACAAATGGACTACAAATATCTTACACTGGTACCCACGAGGGATCAAACACCCAAGATGAAGACCACTTTCCTTATTTCGTTACTATGAAGTAACGAAATAATTCCTTATTTCGTTACTATGAAGTAACGAAATAAGGAAAGTGGTTGATGTAAATTGGAAATAAATAAACATCTCCAAACTCGATATCCAATATAATAAGACACCAACCGAATGCCGTAAATTAATCGGGCTATTTTAATGCTAAATTCTAAATAAATTACTTAATTAATTTGGCACTAGAGGTAAGCGTTAGGCGCCATCTCTTATTAAATATAATAGTAGCCCAATGTAATCCAGTAATTGTTTGGCTTTACAAATTTATCAGGTTTAGTGATGTTTATGTATATATATGAAAAAGAACTCTTTAGACACAAAGTGATGTTTATTGAAGAGTAGTGCCCACAAAATTCCAGTTTATTTTAAAGATGACAACATTTGTAAATGAATATTTGGGAGCACTAATAGAACATTGAAAAATAAAATGAAGGAACATAGAACAAAAAAAAAAGATATTCAGAAAAAAAAAGAAATAATACATTGGCTGAGCTATTACTTAAAAAACAAGCAGAAATAGAATGGGAGAAATCTGAGCTTATAGTCATAAATACAAAAAATCTTCCTGTTCATATACCTGAGAATTGGTAAGAGCTGTGAGCTTAATTTTAGTTTTAAATAAAAGGAGAAAGATTGAACATCAGTTTCTAGCTG